CTTCTTGTTGTGGTGCAGTTTCTTCAAAGAATGTCCTCATCCTGATGAAAAGCAGAGGCTTGAACTGAGCCGGAGACTTAGCTTAGAAACAAAGCAAGTGAAGTTTTGGTTTCAAAACAGAAGGACCCAGATGAAGGTCAGTGTCACATTACTTCTCTCCTTTTGTTCATTCAGTGTTTGTGAGATTTGGTTTTTAATTCTGTGATTAATGGAAATGTAAATACGAAATTTTTGAATCAGACACAACTGGAACGCCATGAGAATATAATTCTTAGGCAAGAGAATGACAAGCTCCGTGCTGAGAATGGTGTGATGAAGGATGCTATGGCAAACCCAGTTTGCAATAGTTGTGGCGGGCCTGCCATTCCTGGTCAAATATCATTTGAGGAACACCAACTTAGGATTGAGAATGCTCGACTGAAAGATGAACTAAACCGGATATGCACTTTGGCAAACAAGTTCTTGGGCAGGCCGATCTCTTCCTTGGCCAGTCCCATCTCTCTTCCAAATTCAACCTCCGGTTTGGAACTTGGGGTAGGAAGAAATGGGATTGGTGGTTTGAGTGCTGGAGGCAGTGGGTTGCCAATGGGACTTAATTTAGGAGATGGAGTTTCGAGCTCTTCGCCAATGATGCCTCTGATTAAGAGTTCTACAGGCATGCTGGGCAATGAAGTGCCATATGAAAGATCTATGTACATAGATCTTGCAATGGCAGCTATGGATGAATTGGTTAAGATGGCTCAGGCAGATAGCCCCTTGTGGATCAAAACTTCAGATGGTGGAACAGAAATATTGAACCATGAGGAGTACCGGGCATTTTCTTGTATTGGTACGAAACCCAGCAACTTTGTAACTGAAGGCACAAGGGACACTTGTATGGTGATAATAAACAGCTTGGCTCTTGTAGAGACATTGATGGATGCGGTATGCCATCCTACTCTTTTAATAATTGTATCAGGATTCTATTACTCTATCTTAGTTTTTGCTTGTGTTTCATTCTATCTATTTTAATGTATAACATTTTATCTTGAGTGTTTATAGATTAAGATGATATATTTAGTCGCTTGATTGATAGAATAATGCTTGAAGCTATGTATTTGGAACTTAATAATTTGTTTTTCCTTGAGCAGAATCGATGGGCAGAAATGTTTTCTTGTTTGGTTGCTAGAGCCTCCGTCATTGATGTGATATCCAGTGGCATGGGTGGGACCAGAAATGGTGCTCTTCAAGTGGTGTGTCTCTTTGCTTCTGTCTTTTCTGTCTTATCCACCTTTCCTCTTCCTCTCCTGCTGCAAATTTGGAACTCATGAGGATCTTATTTTGTAGATGCATGCTGAGCTTCAAGTGCTCTCCCCGTTGGTCCCTGTCCGCCCGCTGAAGTTCCTCCGTTTCTGCAAGCAACATCAAGAGGGTGTTTGGGCTGTGGTCGATGTTTCCATTGACATCAATCAAGAAGGTTCCAATACAAATGCATTTTTGAACTGCCGGAGGTTTCCTTCTGGATGTATTGTGCAAGATATGCCTAATAATTGCTCCAAGGTTATAGCTGATTCTTTACTGCTTGTGTTTATCTTCCATGCAATGTTATGCTTCTTTATGATTGTTGAGTTAGCCTTGTTGGTGTAGTTTTCATTCTACCTTATTAATGAGGTTGTTGAGCTGAATAATTTGAGTTTGTTGAGAACACAAGAAGGTATGGGCAGTTATATTCCCAGACCTAGCCTTAGCCTGACTTGTGCTTCCAAAGAATTTACTTTCTTATTATCACCCAACAAAATTGCTTTCTGGTTGATGGGATTGCTCCTATTGTAATGTAGTAGGACTTCACCTAGAAATATGTACACTTTATTGTTATTTTACTGAAGAAGATGCTTCCTCATTTTGCTTATTATATAATCTTCAAATTTCGAAGCCAGGGTTTCTCATTTCTCATTGTCTGTATTTAATTAGTTTACTGCTTCTCTTAAGAGATGAGAAAATCAAGGATAGTCACAGTTTAATATTAGCGTAAACCATCGTATCTGTTTCTGCATCTAAAATATAAGATTATTCATAATCTTTATGTGCAGGTGAAAGTAAAACCCTTGGAAATTTCAATCTCTATTGCATTAACTATGTATTTGATGCTTCTATTCCTATCTCTCCTTCTGTATTAATGTTTTCTTTATTGTCCACGAGACTGAATGACCTGGATCCAGTCTTATATTGTTGTATACTGAATTCCATATAATGTGATTTTCTGCACACTATTTTATTATATTGTTAGTTTCTCCACAAGCCTGAATTTTGACTTTTCACTCTTTATCTTTTCCACAAACTTGTTTGGTGCACTCTTAGTTTATGATTGTCTTCAGTTCATGTCAACTCATGTCTAGGTTATATTCTCTCTCTCTCTCTCTCCCCCCATACACATGGCATTCTTTTTTGGCTTTTGATAAATTGTTTGTATGCAATTATTTTTTTCTGAGTGAAAACTGAGAAGGGTCACCTTGGTAAATTCCTAATGTAGGTCAGCAGGCTGCATGGCCTGAACGACCAATAGGGAACAACTAAAACTTGGTTCTGGGCGTACCTTTTGCATTTTCTTAGGAAATGCCTTCTTCTATATATGAAGTAAATTTTCTGGACAAAAAAAGAGATACAAATTAAATTTTGGGTGTGAAAGAAACCATCAGGATATAGTCTACAGGGAGCTTTTAAGGGTTTTTTGATGTTGCATTTTTTTATTTGAAAGAGGTAACTAGTGGAAACTCAATAGCAGTTAATGAGTTTGGAATAGATGCTATGTGGGTGCCGCCAATTAATGGATAGTACTTTGCAGGTGACTTGGATAGAACACTCCGAATACGATGAGAATACCGTGCACCACCTCTTCTGGCAATTACTACGTTCGGGTATGGGCTTCGGTGCACAGAGGTGGCTTGCCACTCTGCAAAGGCAATGTGAGTGCCTGGCATTCCTCATCTCCTCTACCAACTCAATTGAAGATCATACAGGTCAGTCTACTTGCCTTCTTTTACATTTTCTGACAAATATGTGAAGTTTTATGTTCTGACAAATACCTATATTCGACAGGGTTAGGTACCAATGGTAAAAAAAGCATGTTAAAGCTGGCACAACGTATGATCGATAACTTCTGTGCTGGGGTTTCTGCCTCATCTGTGCGCAAGTGGGACAAACTGTGTGTTAATAATGTTAGTGAAGATTTGAGGGTTATGGCCCGGAAGAGTGTGGATGACCCAGGTGAGCCTGCTGGGATCGTGTTGAGTGGCTCGACATCTGTTTGGCTACCAGTATCAAGGCATAGGCTGTTTGATTTTTTGCGAGATGAACAGTTAAGGGATCAATGGGACGTTTTGTCCAAAACTCATAAAATGCAACTCATGCTTCGCATTGCCAAGTCCCAAGGAGGTGGCAACTGTGTTTCTCTCCTTCGTGCCAATGTGAGTGGTTGCTAAGTTTCTACTCTTTTCTCCTCCCCCTATGCACCAGTTGTTTCATTGTGTATATGTTACTTTGCCAATTTCAGGTGGTAGATGCCAATGAGAATACCATGCTGATGTTACAAGAGTCGTGGAGCGACGCTTCAGGCTCACTTGTAGTGTATGCACCGGTTGACCCAGCATCAATGAGTGCCGTGATGCGCGGTGGAGATTCTGCCTATGTTGCTCTCCTACCATCAGGATTTGCAATCCTCCCTGGTGGTCCACCTGGCTATGGTATGATCAAAACTGAAGGCAATGGCTGCGACGATGGTGGATGTTTTCTGACTGTTGGATTCCAAATTTTGGGGAGTAACTATCCTGCAGCCAAGCTCGATGTGCAGTCGATTAATACAGTTAACACCCTTGTCTCGCACACAATTGAGAAGATAAAATCGGCTCTTCAAGTACCATAATGTTAGTGCTTGACAACCATGCTTTTATTTTGTTACCTTCTTTTTGCTTTTGATGGTTTGGGAAAAGAAAAAGGGATATATGGGGAAACATAGAAGATTAGAATGGGATAGTAAGGAGCTCGAGATGAAATGTTTCGCACACGGGTTTCGAGTCAAGAACGAACCGCATGTGGAGAATTATTATGTGGTAAACTGCTTAATCTGGTCTGGTTTTGAATTTAAAACAAGAGTTGAAGAGTGGTGGTTCGGGTATTGACTCAGTGGACCTGCAGGGTAGGCTCAGCTCTGCCTTTTGTGTTTTGTTAAATTATCGATACCATACAGAGTTGTGACATTGAAAACAACCTTTTTGGCTAATGGTTTTATTTTGAACTTGGATGTTGAAATGGCTGGGTCTCTCTCTTTAATCTCCCTCAACTCTTTCTTTATGCTTTTTTTAATTTTGGTGCCTCTCTCTACCTATCCTTTATTTTTTTGTTGGGGAAAATGTTACAATTAAAGAATTTTTTGCTAAAGTACTTCTCTCTTTTCTATCAAAAATTTCCAAGATTTACTTAAACTTGGTGCATTTTTCTCACGCACAATTGAACCAATCTAGAAGTTATTTCTTGTTTGGGCTTTTCCTATCTCATCACCCAGGCCCAAAGATAAGCTCTGGCCCAAATTGTACCATACCATTACCATTTGCAGGCCAGGCCTGCAGCAGATCGTTTCGTTTTTGATGAATTTGAAGCCCACAAAATCCATTTTAGGATCTAATTTTGATAAGTAGCCCAGTGGAAATGTAGTTTTACACTTGCGCCTTATAAATTCTGGTAATTCCTTTTTTCCCTGAACATCTTGATCTTTCTTCAATTTACACCCGCGCTGGTCCCACTTAATAGTTTTCTCTGCGGTCGTCTCCTCCTCCTCCTCCGCAGCAACAAGCACACACTTGTTAACTTCTGTTGCAAACTGACCATCTTCAACGCCAAAACCCTCAGCCCCCAGTAGAGCTAAAATGCACATATTCTTAGCTTTTTCGTCCAATTTCTTCAGACCCAAATCCAAAACTCTGAAACCCGTCACATTCATCCTCTGCAATCTCACTTCCACAAGACCCATGTCCCAGTCCACCTCCATACCCAAGAAGCAAGAAAGAGTCCGAGACCATGGCTACGACAATTACATGGAGGTTGAGAAGAAGACCCGCAAGGTCCTCAAATTCCAGGACCTCATTCTCTCCCAGCCTAACCAAGTCATCCAAATCTCCCGCCTCGACCTCCTCGCTCGCCGCTTCGGTTTCAAACAGAACGAAGCTGGTGCTTTCGTCCTCAAATTCCCTCATGTCTTTGAGATTTACGAGCACCCAGTTCAGAGAATCCTTTATTGTCGCTTAACCCGAAAAGCCCACCTCCAGATTGAGCAGGAAAAGAAGGCTCTCATCGACCAAATCCCTGACGCCGTGACCTGTCTCAGAAAGCTTTTGATGATGTCTAACACCGGCCGGCTCCGCCTCGAGCATGTTCGGATTGCAAGGGCTGAATTTGGGCTGCCTGATGATTTCGAATACTCGGTAATTATCAAGTACCCTCAGTATTTTAGACTGTTTGATGCGCAGGAAACTAGGAATAAGTACATTGAGGTTGTTGAGAAAGACCCGAGTTTATCTGTGTGTGCTATAGAGAAGCTTAGGGAGATAGAGTATAGGGAAAAAGGAATTGATGCTGAGGATATAAGGTTCTCATTCATTGTGAATTTTCCACCCGGGTTTAAGATAGGAAAGTATTATAGGATTGCAGTGTGGAAATGGCAGAGAGTTCCTTATTGGTCACCGTATGAGGATGTTTCCGGTTATGACTTGAGGTCACTTGAGGCTCAGAAGAGAATGGAGAAGAGAGCAGTTGCTGTGATTCATGAGTTGTTGTCGTTGACGGTGGAGAAGAAGATTACATTGGAGAGGATTGCCCATTTTAGGATGGCTATGAATTTGCCAAATAAGTTGAAAGAATTTCTTCTTCAGCATCAGGGTATTTTCTATATTTCAACTAGAGGAAATCATGGGAAGCTTCATACAGTGTTTCTTAGGGAGGCTTATAAGAAGGGTGAGTTGATAGAGCCGAATGATTTGTATTTGGCGAGAAGAAAATTGGCTGAGTTGGTTTTAATAAGCCCGAGGAAGGCAAAAGTGGATAGGGAATTGGTTAGTTACCACAGAGATTGGGAGGATGATGAGAGAGGGCATATTAGAAGAGACCATGTTGAGAATTCTTTTGAAGATTTTGGAGGCAGGAACACCATTGGGCAGGATAGGGGCGTGGATGATGATATGAACTCAGATATGGGTGGTGATTATGACTCCGATTGATGAGGATGATCATTGTTATAAAACTATGGATGCAAAGGATGTCCATGTGAGACGGAATTGGTATTTGCTACTTGAGTCATCACAGTCATGGAAATTGCAATGAGTAGGTGGAGAATCGACAATGACATCATCTAACCTTGAGTGTATTTGAAACACGGTGATTGAGGGTATCATTTATGGCAAGCAGGATTTCTTATTCATGGACAACACCTCAGATGGAGTTGTATTCTTGAAAATTCGTGGGCAAAGTTTTGATGCCAGATAGCCTTGTCGTCATCTTCAGAACTGAAGAGATCTGAGAAAGTTTGAGGTGAGTTACAAATTTTGAAAGTGGCCATTTGGTCACTACCATGCTGTTCTACCTTATCAATCTGAACGAAACAATTTGGAAGCATATAAAAAAGAAGAAGTTAAGCACGAGTCTTAAAGAATTGGAAGAGATTTGCTTTTGGAGATTGCTCGTGCAACTTCCTGAATTTAACTTAAACCATTGCCACTAATACTTTGTCTAATGTTGTGTTTGTAAAAGTTATACTGATTATAAACTGCAATAGAATGGATTCTTCGGCAACCCCTTGATCCAGAAGAAGAAATAATGAACGTGGACTCATGAAGTCTTCTATTTGTGTAATTGCATTCAAATGGTTCTGAAATCTCAGGTGAATGTTAGGTGAACAGAATCTGAGTTGAAATTATTCAATATTGTGCCATGCATTGCCGCTGGAGGGTTTCGGTTTGTGAATCATTTCACCAAATTTGTAGAATATCTGTTCTTTGACTTGAAACACTTGTTTGTTCATGACTAAGAAACACTGAGATGAATGAATGGGAAGCACTGAACCACTATATTACCAATTCATGTTAGGGAAGTGAAGAAGAATACACTGCCAATGGAGAGGATTTGTGATTTTCAGCAGAACCAGTTGGGCTTGGGGGCATGCAGATCAATGGGTACCCAGGTACTTTTGCAAAAATGAAATGGGGGTTTCCATTTGAGGTCAACTTTTAAAAAGTTTATAGGACTTGGACCAGGAGCATATACGTCTCAAGCGTTTGGACTTAAATTACATGTCATTAATTGGGGAGAGCATTTTTATTCACCACTTTAATCTAAGGTGTGTTCTCATCATTCTTCTCAACACTTGATACGTATTCATATACATAACCATGATTTCATAAATACAAAGTAAAAAATTAACCATGAGTAAAAAGACGAGGATATACATTGAGTTGAAGTGGTGAATAAACATATTTCCTTAATTGAACCAAGTGAGTTTTATTTTTGTTCAATCGGACTCATGTGAATATCTCCCAAATACAATGGCCAATGGGGTATTTTAACAAATGAAACAGCATCAATCCATATGCATTGAAGAGATGAAGCAAAAGAAAAAATATAGTGAAGATCGTTATTGTAATAATTAAGCAAACATGATTTTGTTTTGTTTAAAAAAAAAATTGTACTCATGTTAGTAAATGAGCAAATAAATGCATGAAAGGAGAAATAGCCGCCAACATGATCTAGTCAAGTGAAAATAGAACTTGACTTGCAAAGAGAAATAGCCGCCAACATGATCTAGTCAAGTGAAAATAGAACTTGACTTGCAAATTAATCGTCCCATCTAGGTTGCTCTTCCTGTTCTTGCCACCGGTGCCTTTTTTGGTCATGTTGATTGCTCTATCCACCCAAAAGCCCTAGCTAGCTAGGTTTTCCCATTTCTCAAGGCTCGCTCTTTCATGCTATGTCTTTTTTATTTTAATTACACACAAGTTGTTTCATTTGGGCCACCGCACCAGCCACGCAGCCTCCTATTTGGGCATTAGTCCAAATATGAGACTTCGGCCCTGAAGGGTTTAGCCCATTGGTCCAGCCGCATCATCTGAGTTACCTGGTTCCTATGTGGATAACTCATATATATTCTGGGTTTTGTAGAGAATGTGGTACCAACCTTCGAACCCAAGACCACTAGGAGTTAGTGCAAGCGCACTTAACCACAAGGGGAGGTAGAAGGCCAGCTGACTCATATATTTTCTCATTTTGTTGCTTAGTATGTTTCCCTTTTCACTTCATTTTGTGTTACAGGAGAAGGAATTGCGATTGAAGTAACAATATGTCTTTGTCTCAGCATCCATACAAGACATAATTCCGAGATTTCAAGAGGCTCACAGTAACTTTGATGAATTTCCAGAGAAGGTCTAAGTCTTAATATAATAATCACACAGTTGCAGTCTTGAGAGACAGAAAGTCTGAAATCTTGTTCGTGTAAAAATCTGGTTATATGGAGTTGTTAGGACTCTGAGGAATTGAAAAAGTGATGAGCATTTTCCTGGGTTGATTGGTTGATTGAAGAAAAGGGAAGAAACAAAGGATTCAGACTATTTCAAGACTTTAGATTGGTATATCCATGTTTGTAGTTAGGCATAAAACCTTGGTTTTCTTTAAAGTCTGGAAAAAACAAAAAGAGTTTAGCTGGACGGATATATGATTTAAATATTTGAATATATTTTCACGTACAGCCGCGCGGCTATACTATTCTGATATTTAAAAACTGTGTAGCCGCGCGGCTATACATTTTCAAGTCTGGAAAAAAAAAGAGTATAGCCGCGTGGATCAGTATCAAGTATAGCCGGCCGGCTATAAATTTTTTTTAAAGAAACAATAAAATCAAGTATAGCCACTCGTGGGGATATGAGAAAGTGTTTTTAGTGCCAAAACGAGCAATACTAATAAACGGATGTACCATACTTCCTTAGGATGAGCTTTTAGGGCACAATAGAAAGAGCTTATTCGTCGATAACAAGCCTTTCTTCATATCATAAAGGAATAGAACCGGAAAGCTTTGATGCGAGAAAAGTAAGTTCATCCGCACTATAAAGACAGACGGATTCTCTCTCTTCTGCGTATCGCTTTATATAAGCTCCAGTGAACCCAATGCAAGACAGAGGGATCCTATAATAAGACTGACTCCTTCTATTCCGGACGGCTATACTATTTTTATTTTTGAAAAAAGAACCCGCCTAGCGAACAGGCGGTCACGTGTGAAAATAATTATAGCCGATCGGCTATACTATTTTTATATCACAAGTCCAGATTTTCACTGCCACTGCAACCCAGATATCAAAAAAAGTTTCTTTCTTTCAAAAATATCAAAACAAGAAGAAAAAGAGTTTATAAAATCCGAGATACGGGAAGGAGCATACTCAGGGAGGAGACGAAAGGCGGTGAGGGTGTCCTGGAAGATGAGCGATTGAAGATTCTTGGGAATTTTCTTCTAAGCGCCTCTGAGAATTAACTCAGCTCTTTACAGGCTAACGGGTACCTGTGAATTCTTGGTAAAGACTCTTTCAAGCCAAGTTTTTGGTATCTCTCTAATGTTTTGACATGCTTTCTGTGATTCAAAGGCACAGGGGAGAGAGAGAAGAGTGTTCCTTCAGATACTCCAAATTTACAAGTTACAACAATTCTGATGGGCTGAGAAGCATAATTGGGCTGTTTAGTCCTTATGGGCTGCTAATTCGACTGGCCTAGTCATGTTTCTTAAATAGCCTCTAGGGCTCCACTTTTGACCACCTCTCATATTCCTTTTGTCTCCTTCTTCCTCTTCCCCTTCTGATCCTATTTGGGTATCAGAGCTTGGTTCTGAGAACATGGGCAAAAACCCTCTTTCTCCACAGGAAATGGGTTCCCTAGAGTTGGAGCTACAACTCCACAAAGAAAAACTCAGGCTTCGCTTCAGGAGCTACAGAACTCCATAAACTCCATGGTCTCCGCACAAGCTCACTTCCAGCAAACGCTTCTGGAAGATATCCGCCAGCTTAGAGTTGGGTTTGAACAATCAAGAACAAAGGATGGGTCCTCCTCAATGCCATGAACAATGAACCTGAACTTCCCTGTGTTTCACGGAGGAAACGACAACCCAGTAGACTGGCTCTCCCTCGCGGAGCTTTACTTCAAGTACCTCAAGGCTCCCGAGGAGAAGAAAGTGGAGATTGCGTCCCTTCACAGGGGGATGCGATTCCATGATTTCAGGCTTGTACGAGCCCTACCACAGCTTGGATTCATGGTCGCAGTTTGTGGTGAAATTTTTGAAGTTCTTTGGGCCTGGAGAGTGCATCGATATAGAGATTGCGGTGAGCAACCATAAGCGAACGGGTTCAGTGAAAGAGTACACAACAGAGTTCCGGAGGCTTTACTCTGCCATGAAAGAGGGGAAAAGAAAAAAAAACAAAAAAACAAAAGGGTATAGCCGTTCGGCTATAATATTTATTATTATTATTATTTCAAAACAGTACAGCCGACCGGCCATGCTATTCTGATATAAAAATAGTACAGCCGAACGGCTATACCTTTTAAAGTCTGGAAAAAAATAATAAAACGGTATAGCCGGGCGGCGATACCAGTCGGATATTAAAATAGTACAGCCGCCCGGACATACGGTTTTAAGTATTAAAAAATAAAACGGTATAGCCGCCTGGTAATACTATTTATTATTATTATTATTATTTTTAAATAGTATATCCGCCCGGCTATATTATTTCTAGAAACATTCACAAAACCAAGTATAGCCGAACGGCTATACAATTTTTTATTAACTTTTTAGAAACAATATACAGCCGCACGGTTTCAGGTTTGCTTGTTTCTTCTTAATGCAGTTATTTATATGCTTACTTATAATATATTTTGAATATGTATTGTATTGTAATCAGGCCTTAATTACAAACTTTAGGATTTTGGAGTATAATAATCATGCCTTGTTTCATTTTAGCTGTATTCTCTTCTCCCCCACTTGAGAATATCCCAGTATATTATTTATTTATCAGTCACCAAATATAACTTAATACTAAGTTAATGTTAATCTTCCAGTTGTTGTAGCTGTATGTGGGGAGTCTTGCTTCTACTTCCACAAAACGATCCCTGTTTTTTGCGGATTTTGCATAAACAAATAGTTGACTAACAGACAACTTGGCTTCTCATGTTGTGTCATTTTGCCTTCAATATT